GGCTATTTATATTCTTGCATTAGAAGCAAGCAACGCTTCGATTGATTTGTGCGAGGATTTCAGATAAACCCTAGAAAAGTCTCGTTTTTTCCGTCTCTGCTTTGTATTTAATTCTTCAGGTGCGATTTACGATCCTTTCTGTTTTTTTTTTTTTTCTTCTGTAGTATTTACTTTTTCTTCATCTATGATCGAGAAACTTCGAGAAGTCTCTCAGATTTTCCTCTAATTTTCTCCTGGAACAAAAAAAAAAAAAATCTACCAAATTTGATGCAAATCTGATTGGGTTTTGCTCGAATTAAACGAATTGCAAAACCCATGAGTTTGAATTGGTTAAAGATTTAATCTTTGGTTTGAATTTGCAGATATGCCGGTGATGAGTCCGTCCTTGTGTATTGGTGCAAAACAGCTTGTGTACCTTCCTCCTCCTAATCGGAATTATTTTCAGCGTAATAGTATGTTTGATTCTTGATTTGCTTCTTATTGGCACTAAAGTGTATCATTAGTGGCATTCTAGGAAGAAGATTTGTGAAATTTAGACAAGTGAAGTTTCATTTTTTGAAGATTTGAGTTTGGATTGTTCATGAGGAAATTTGAAGAAGAAACGAGACTTGTTGTGTTATTAGAACATTTTCTCTTAGTTTAATGATGTTCAAGCTTTGGATTTTTAACTTGTTTTAGATGAAAGTTTGAAGCTCTTTGTACTCGCTTTTCTTTGACAGGAAAGCGTACAAGAGTATCTATGCAACTTCAACCATGGAGCCAAAGAAATTTTCCTTCTATTAAGGCAGTTCTCTCATGTAACGCTGCGCTGGTACGTTGTATTCGTGATTCGCTTAGTTAATCCAAATCTTGGTGTCTAATGTTGATACCTTCATGATTAGCATGACATGATACAGTATTTTGCTTATTTCATCGGGAAGATCGTTTTGGATCTCATGGTCAATAGTTTATTTTCCGTATTCTGATTTATTTTCTGCAGAATTCAAAATGCAGTCAAGGGCAAACACAGACTCTTACCCGGGAAGCACCAACAATCACACAAGCTCCTAATAGTAAGTTGTTGCATCCTTCTCTTTTGTTGACTCTGTTGATGCATGTTTGCATCTTTGAGAAAAACTGTCTTATGTTTATAGCCAATTACGACGGTATGATCTGTCACGAATCTAGCCAATGTCGAACTGTTATTTCATATTGGGGCTTGCTATGGTTCTTATTCTTATGTTTCTAGCCAAGAAGGAAGTGCTTTTATAGAAACCGACTGGTCCTGAGTCCTGACTGTGCCTAATGCCTTTGCTTGAACATCAGGAAAGGATAAATCGAGCAAGATTGATGATGGTGGAAGCGGAATAAAGCTTGATGATGGTGGAAGAGGGTTACCACCTCGGGA